AGAGAGAGAGAGAGAGAGAGAGAGAGAGGGGGGGGCAAGGAGAGGGTAAGGAGAGGAAAATCGAGACAAAAATAAAATGTAAAAGATTTATTTTTATTTTATTTTTTAAATATTTTTTTGGGGGTGGTGGTATTGGGCGAATAAGCGGAACAGCTGATAAATGCTGGCTGAGTGAGACAGAGAAGGAATGAGGACGGGAAAAGCAAGGGAGAGGAGAGGCTGGTTCCCTGTGCACACCAGAACAAGTTGGCAAAATGGTTGCTTGAAATTGCCACACTTGACTTTTTGTACTTATGTGTTTTCACCGTCATCAACACAGTATAGATCAATGCTTTTTATTACCTAACCTTTCTTACCACCCACCTACATGTATTTCACAGCGGGGAATTTGAATTACATCTGCCATACCCATGTGATTCCCATTGTGCACCTAATTCATCAAATCACCAACTAGTGATAAAACTGGGCTGTTTGTAATAATAATAATAATATTATGCCAGCAGAAAGACGGAGGTACTAAATAGAATAAACTGCACTTGAGGAAATTGAACTGGCATCCCTTTCAGAACAGGACAGAAAGTCACACAGATACTATAGCAAACGACGTTAACATTAAAGTGATCAGTGTAAATGCTGTAAATATTGAATATTCATTTATTAAAAAAGTTGTTTAACGACACAAGGCTTATGAAACGAAATCAAGGGAATGGAGGAAGGCTATGATGTACTTAGAAATAGTAAATGAAATAAGATATTAAAAAAACTGAGCCAGTATTGTTTACAAAACAGCACAGCTTAAAAAGCCTGTGGTGTATGGTTTGGTTGTTCGCCGTCGCACGCAGAAAATACAAGTTCAATTTCCCAGCGAGGAAAATTTTCATCGAATATCTCGGTCTTTGTGCTGAGAGTTGTTGTATCCTTCTAAACCAGGGTTGGCCCTGATAGGCAGAGTTCAAAGGTGCTTGCATAACTATTTTAATTGTGAATCTCACACACTTTTAGCGCTGGACGGAGAGCCTTACAGACTCTGAAATTATCTCAATAGTGTTGATTGGGTCTTTAAAAATCCACAGTTTTAACAAATGAATTTGAGCACCGTGTGCAACTCAGAAGACGTTAAAG